GGAAAAATCTCCTATAGAGTATCCTCCCGGAATGCTCTAGGTAAATGCTAAGGAGAAGTAGGAATAGCCTATTATATAGGAACTTCTATATCACGAGTAGCTCGCTATATATACTACCCTTAATAAACAAAACCATTATATTTACTATCTTTACTATCTTTACCGTTGTCCTCCTTGATCGACTAGTAAATAACTAGAGACTCTAGAATAGCCTCTAAAACCGGAGATACTACTACCTATTTTCTAGGCTACGGTAGGACTAACGGAAGCAATAGTCTACTATCTATATAATCAACTATATAACGTCGAATTGTCTTATAAACCTACGGTTAAAGAACTAGACGACGACGTATTAACTAAGGAACTAACTAATAAATTAGCTGCTAAACAACCTACCTCTTTAGTAGTAGAAGGTAAGCCGGTTTAACTTACTTCCGGAAATTCGGTTATTAAAATAGAGATTAATCTTCGATCTCCTATATTCTAGTTAACGGCTTTAGTATAGGTAGTATAGTCTATACTCTTCCTAGTATATCCGGACCTACGGAAGCTTACTTCTATTAAATCATAGGTCTTAAAACCTAAATTGCTACCTCTAGCTATCTACTAGTAATAAAAACCTACGGAACTAGCTTTAGTCTAATTATAACCTTCGGACCTTCGTAAGGTTGTTTGCCTTTCTTAATTATAAAATCTAGAATATATAGACTACCTACTTTATAAAGTACCCCGGCGTTATTATCTAAATTAGGATCCTTAGGTACCGGCTTTCTAGCTAAAAACCCCCCCTTTAGATCGTTATCCGATCGAGAAGAGTTAAGATTAAGTTTATTAGGAAAAGTAACGTCCCGTAAACAAACAATCTCCTTCGAAGTAGGATTCTATATCTTAAAGATATAACTATTCTTACCTTTATAACTAACTAGGTATCCTCTAAATATACGAGTAGCTGATTTCTCTAATTAAATATATATCTCCCTCGGAATATAGATAAATACGATAGCACCCTATATACGAAGATATTTTAAATTAACCTTCGTCTTACTAAGACTAAGGCCCTCCTACTAGGAGATAATCGGTATCTTCGTAGTCTTCGGATTAACTAAGCGATTATAAATATAAATTACGGTATCTACTCGGTAAGGCTAAAGCTATTTAGGAAGCTTAGCGTCTATATTTATTATACGTTAAATCTAGTTAATATAACTACCTATACGCTCCGTAACGCTATTCGGTTTAGGTATATAGGTAGGCGTGATTTTAAAAACTATACCTTCTTCCTCTACCTATAACTAGAACTTATAGAATTTAGTTCCTCTATTAATCCGCTAGAAAGCTAGGTAACGTCTATAAAGAATCTTCTATCTCTTATAGAAAGTAATTATATAAGATATAATCTCCTCCTTAGTTCGAAAGTACGGTCCTTCGGTATATCGAGTATAATTATCGATAATTAGTACCTAATAACATTTATTACGAGGTCTAGGTAGGTTTATAGTTTATATATCCGTATAAAACTTTATACCTAGCTTCTCTATACGTCGTTATATATCCTAAGAAATCTATTTCTTAGCTTTACTAAATTAATAAGCTTCGTAGTTAAAGTTATAAAATTTAACCTAGTCTCCTTCCTCTAGAAGAATAGTATTAGAAAGAGAAGCTTTAATATACGGTCTTCCTATATAACTAAGTCGACGATAAATTTCGTAAGTCGAAATAGACTTATTGATTCGATTAAACTCTTTATCTAAATCTAAGTCTAAATTAGAAGAATTCGGTTTATAGAAGTAAGTCGTTTAAATAGAAGATTGTTATATCTTCTCTAGAATCACTCCTTAATAGAGTAGGCTATCAATCTAAGATAAACTATTAAATTATTTTATTAAACCAACTTCCTCCCTATTCTTATAAACTAGTTTCGAAACAATTAGATTATAATAGATACTGTAATCCGCTTTAAGAGTATTAGATAAAAGTAGACGATCGGTAGTTACCGTATTATAGTAGGCATTAATAAGAATTATCTTAATCTTACCTTCCGAATTCTTAATTTAAATCGGCGCCTTACTATAACTAATTGCTAATTGGACCTTACTATTAGCATTCGTATAGTTATATAGCTCCTTACTAGGCTTATAAGTTAAGTATTCGTAGAAGTCCTTACGATATCTAGTAATCGTTTTAGAAGTACTACTATTAATCATCTAGTTGTCCTCCGAAGAACGAGCTATATTAGTATAAGTAATACTAGCCTTATCTTTTCCTTTACGTATAGTTATATAGTACTAAGTATTACTACGCGGCTTCTATCCCTCTATAGGTAGATCCTCTATTAGGTAGAAATATATCTTAGTAGGATATCTAGTATATCTATAGTAGGTATATTTAGAACTATTTATATACTATAACTATTAATTACGCTACTATTCCGCCTATTTGTTAATCGACTTACCCTTAGGTAGCGTATTCTTTATACTTTAATACTATTCCTTCTAATCATTTTAATTATCCTTATTATTATTATCCGATCTAGAGTTATATAAACTACCTCTACGACCTCTACTACTACGGCCTCGACCTCTTATTCTACCTCTGCGTTAATTATTATTATTATTATTTCGTATAACGTTAGTAGAAGCTTCTAGGTCGAACGATAACAAAGTAGGAATATCGCGTACTTTAATCGTTAATACCTTATATATATCGCTAAAAACCTCCTTTATAACGGAATCTAGTATCTTATCTTTTAAAGTCTCGTAGGTAAATATTACCGATTTAAGTTTACCTTCTAGTTATTAAAGTATTATAAATAATACTCCGAATAGGTAAGGTTCGACTTTATATATACTAAGCTAGTTATATTAGGTCTAGTAGGCATTAATATAGTCTTTAGTAGAACTAAAGTATAATCTCTTTATCTTATCGAATTTAATTACCTTACGTCTTACGTTATTAATAATACTAGTACTACGAATAATAGACTCGACTTTATATAGTATATAATCGGCGTAAATCGGGAAACTATTTATATATCCTTTAAGAGTTATAATAATCTTCTAATCTAGAAGACCTTCGATCTATCTACTAGAAATCTTCGACTAGTATCTCTATAGATTGTAATCGGGATCGAATTCGGTAGGACGAGGTAGATTATAGTCGGCGACCTAATCGATTCGCGCTATACTTAATCTATTAATAATCTATCGTTTCTATCTTACTAGATTGCTACTATTAAGAGCTAATTTAATACCCTTATTAAGCTTAATCTCCTTTACTTCCAGAAGATTAGTCCCCTATATACGTATCCGTCTAATAGGACCACGTTGTTGCTATTATAGACTATTAGAAATAGGATTATATTATTAGCGAGAAGCGGGGAGAGAATGTAAGGAACCTTCTCCTCTGTTATTATTATTATCGTAGGAACTAGTTATTTTAACTATACGTCGAGTATCCGTCTTTAGTCTCGATCGAAAGAAATGCGCGAAGCGGTACCGTCCGTCGCGTCGATAAGATAACCACGGAAAACGAAGCTTCCTAGATAATCAGAATAATGAAAATATTGACTTACGATGAGATCGTCGATGAAAATCAATAATAGGATCGATAGTCGAAAAGTGGAGATACGGAACGGGCCGAAAAACGCGTCCCATAAAAGAAAAATGAAAACTCTGATTAGTTGAAAATTTCAACGAAAAGATACTCGGAGTCGTACGAGCAAGGGCTTATAACCTATCAGATGGAATATAGGCTATGCAGGAATGAATGTTAACCTCAAGGGATTAATATTGTAGACTCTGGAGAGAAAGAAAAGAAGAGAAGAAAAAACTAGCTACTGTCTAACAATATCCTGAGTTCTGTGGGTCAGGATCACCTGCGGCCCCACATGGCCGTCACGTGACTCTAACACTAAAGCCCTTATCCTATTTATAGGGGTTAAGATAGAAGCTAAATTCTTTATTAATAGCTTTATTACCGGCCGGCAGTGCCTTTTATATACCGGAGTACGGGTACTAGGATATAAGAGAGGATAGGATTTCCTCCGTGATAGACGAGAGAACCCGCCCGAGGGGAAATATATTATTATATACTAAGGCATTTATACCACTAATAATACCGTGATTATAACTACTCTATAACTACGTTTAGGTATCAGTGGCTTAGTTCTTATACGGCTACAGCGTATAGGGGAGGAATCGATTTGCCTAGAGGATAGAGAAGTATATAGGATTATATATTAGGCCGATTTAGCTATGAAGTACTCTACGAGCTCTAAATTCTTTTGTTTCACGGACCCTATAGACCCTTTGATTTCGAACGGATGGGCATGCGTTCCTGTCCCAGAGAAGCGCCCCCATTCCTCTTCCTAGTTCTATTAACCACGACTTATTATCTAGCGACTACAAAATTATAGGCAACTACAACCCGCTCGCTGTATCATCTAGATAATATGTATTGTTTGAATACCGTTTATTTATGATTACATTATTATTTTCTATTATTACACATAATAAGTTAGTAATAAGTAGAGGAAAATAAGAAACGTGCACTGTCTGTCAGCTTTATAGTGGGACTCACACCCTCGGTGCATAGGATGCTCACCTAGGGTGTGAAGTTACCGCCACTATCACCTCAATTTTTCACACCCAGGCTAATAAGGTTTCATCGCTGCTTCAAGGGGAAAGGCATATTGAATGATTGATTGACTAGATGTGTGTGGCTTGAGTACGGTTGAGCAGACGGAAAGGCCTATTTTACACACCCTATGGTCCTATGTACTAGGTTATGAGTGGAAGAGAAATATAATATAGCCTTACCACTCGATCTCGGACTCTGGAATCTACGTTTACATCACCTGGAACAGGTCCTGTGGCGATGGTCAATGGTATTTATTGATAGGGAATATATGCTAGGTGGGTGTTCTTTATGAATACCCCACTTTACCACCTTCTAAATCTGTAGGAATTGGTGTATGTTCAAAAGCTCCTATGGCTGCAATCTCAATTTTCACTTGCCTCCTTGATTTCCTTCATCATCTCCTTTTTTTGCTTTTGGATCATTTTCATAGTCTTCTGGGTGCGAGCGAGCCTTTGTTCATAGGCTGCTAGGGTTGTGCGTAATGGGTGTAGATCCTCATGGTGAGTCGAGTTGATATTTGGCTGCTCCTTCAATGTGGTTTTCAATTTCTTCTTTTGCTTTCGCATCATCTTGATAGTCCCTATAGTGCGGGAAACTTTGCCCTCGAGGGCTGCTAGAGCTGCATCTAGCGAACGAACGTCCTCTTGCATCTTTCCGTCTGTTGGGACAATGTTGAGGTTCTCGTTGAGGTTCTCGTTGAGGTTCTCGTTGGGGTTCTCGTTGGATGTTTTTAATAAGCTGCACCGGATATATTCGCCCCCCCAATGGTAGTTTGCATAGTGTTGCATGCCAGGCATGCGAACATAAGAGGTAAATTTGCCATCTAGTATCAGGCAATTGTCGCAGGCAAGGCCATGCGAGACCTTTTTTCCAACTACCTGGCTTACTAGGGCCTCAACATTCTCTCTCCGGTGCGACACTTGCTTATCGAATAACAATCCGTCCCCTACCTTACGCTTTAGGTTTTTGATATTCCTTTGCAGTGTTGGCTCCCGTTGAAGGTCTATCTAGCGGAGGTTGTAAAGCAATGTTTGGGGCCGTTTGGAATGGTTCAAACTTCTCGGCTAGTGGCATCTGATCGCTCTTCTGGCCTAGTATCCAGGTTTTCGGTCAGCCTCGCCGTAAGCGGTATATACCGGGTTTTATGGGGTTTTGGAGGGCTGGTCTTCGGTTGAGGAATTGAGCCTAATGTGATCTATGGCTGTCAAAATCTTAGCAATACACCACAGCGTGCCGAATCCCTTAGACTCACCGTCTTTAGATTGAAATATATGTCAAGTCAAGTGCTTTGGTGATAGATGAATAGTGCTTTGATCCCTGTACGATGAGAATACTTCAGTATAAACGATGCACTACAGCGTGCCGAATCCCTTGGACTCACCGTCTTCGGATTGCACTATATGTCAAGTCAAGTGCTTTACTAATAGGTGAATAGTGCTTTAGTCCCTGTACGATGAGAATACTTCAGTATAAACGATGCGAAGAGTGGTTTGGTATATACGGGTTTATCTATAGAACAAGTGAGAATAACCTCAATTTTGAAACTACCTTAGTTGGCAGGCCGCAAGCACGGCTTCTCTCACTTTTCAAGAAAGAAAAGCGCAGGAAACAGATATGCTACCTACCTTTTGCCGTTCCCTCCTTGTTCCTTGATTTTTGAAACCGTGAGCCAAATCAGAGAGCCTAATATTCCTTGATTTCACCTTTCGTCACTTCGTCAGATTTAGGACTTAAGGCTTCTTTTTCATTCATGACTAGTAACAGATTTGCATTTCTGATGACCAAAGCGTAGAAGAATCTTGTCAATATGGGTCAAACTGAGGGAGATAAATTGATCAGTGTCGCACAAGTCATTGATCGCAAGATAGCGTTTAAGGATACCTTCGTTATCGATATCAAAATTCTTTGAAATACCCCATTTGAATTCTAGGATAGCTTGTTCCTACTGCTGGAACGTAGCTGGGATCGTTGTTGTCATCTGGAAGTGGATCATATATGCGAAAAATCCTGATTAGCAACCTGTCGGGAGGTAGATTGTGGCCCTGGAGAGCCCATAATCTATCTGCTTTAGAGTGGGTGCCTTGACCTTGCTCTCCTTTACCTCTATGCCGTTATCTAAACGGCCCGCCATTCCAACATCATCAATAGACCTAGTAGGGTCCTCGTCCAAATATAGTGAGATTTGCCGGATTGAGAGGCTTCGAGGAACATCATAAATCATCTTCATCAGCGTTATCTTCGACCGAAGGAGGGGACGCTGACTACGTACGTATGTTGAAAGCATTGTCTTGGATGAAATCAATGAGAATGCGACAATCTGAGACTGACTGAGGCTGTCCCCGACGTTTTTCCTAAGTATTCATGGTAGCGATATTGATGTCAAGCAGGGCCAGGGAGCATATTTGGTGTAGGAAACTCATTGAAAATCACGTTGCGAGAACGCCCAATATTCTTCGTACGTACGTTGTATACAACATAATTGCCGCCCTCGTTTCAATCTCGCTTCCTCCATGAGACGATCAAGCTTTTAGACAGATCGGGTCTGATTTAGGGGGAGACCTGGGGAGACCTGGAGGAGACCTGGCGAGACCTGGCGAGACCTAAACGAGACTTGGGGAGACCTTGAGGAGACTTGGGGGAGATCTTGAGGAGACTTGGGGGAGACCTGGGGAGATCTGGGAGTGACCTGGGACAGCCAAGGCATAGAGGTAATCTGGGTTAGACTGGAGACAGACGTACTACTGAGCAAAGTGTAGATAGTAAAGTTAATACTACTGTTAGTTTGGTAGGTTCAAACAGCTTATGGGGTAGGTCAAACCAAGCCGTTAAATGCGGCGGGGAAAAATGATAGTACTTTACCCTGGTTTCCTTTCTTCCTGTCTCTCACATCTCTATTTAATCCAATCCCTTCATCTCCGCTTTGCTTTCTTCCTCCTATCCATCTCCCTCTGCTCGATTCCGTCTCATTCGGCAGGTTTATCACGCGAATACTCAATACGAGGTACCAACCATGGCAAAGTAAGATAGTATCCCTAAGATACTCTCTTAGAAACTCCATTAACATTTCTAGTGACGCACCGACTACCATCCCCGTTGTCCGGCATGGGGAATCCGCAGATTCCCCCGGCGATTGGGTTGAGCTCGTCCTTCGCCTTCCTTGGCCCGTTGCCCGCCGGAGTCAAATGATTTTGAGCCCAACTCTGCAAACCCTCTACCAGGAGGAGATGGTCCGCGAGCCGACCCTCCGCGAAACAATCCACTGGGGTGGAGAGGAGTTCTTTCAAGCAATCGGGGAATCTATCCGGAGAGTGGAAGCGTTGTTTATTTTCATGACTGGCGTTCGACCTAACGTCCAGTGCGACTATTGCCTCCAAGGATATGGAGTCTTTCCCGTTTGTATCGTGAACCACCAGCCCGGCGTACCAAACGACTGCGCAAACTGCTGGTGGGCCGGTTCGAACGGACACCAGCAGTGTTCGTTCAACTACCCTGTGGTCAACCCGTTCGCAGTACGAGTCATCCCCAACCGAGGGCTGTCGAACATGACACCCGCTATGCGTGGCGACTTCGATCGTCTTTTACGACCCGTTCGAACTGCTACTGCCGCCCTCGCTGAGCAAGCCGAGGATGGTACCCTGCCGCAGGCCCACCGGGACAACATCCGAGCGTTGAAGGCTGCTGTTGACTCCCTTGTGGCCCGCTTCGGCGGCCACTAGAGGAGGTGGATATGACCCTGGTTTGGCAATCTCGATGTTCTTACAAGTTGAATTCGTTTCGCGAATGAGGCCCATGATGGCTGACTTTTTGATATTTTTAATCCTCAATAAGCTTCACTTTGTCTACTAGAGCCCAAGGAGCAAATAGACAACTAGTTTTCCTTCTGGAATCTTTTGCACTTGTACTAGTAGCTTCTTCTTTTGGTGAAACCCCCTACAACAATCGAAGGGTCCAAGATTTCAAGGTTCGAGACCTATTTCCTAAATAGGCTTAGTAGCAACTTCTATTGTTCTTACGGGTAACCCTGGGACCGGGGAAGGTTATATTCTCAATAATTTCTCTCCTTTCTCTCTTTTCTCTTTCCTCCTTAACACACCTTCTGTGTACTTTGATCTCACTCCCGAGGTCTGCTCCTTCATTTGTCACTCTGCCCTTGAAAGTGTGTTCTGCGCACTTTCCTTTCACTCTATCAATGGATCCAAGGCTGCTGCACTTACTCCATATCGCACTTTCCGATTCAAAACATCTTCTACGCACTTTCCTTCTGACTCTCGGCCCAAGATGTCTCAATACGACTTCTCGCTCTGTGAGCACAACTGGTCTCTTGCAAGATACTTTGGTTTCCCCGTACCATCGCCCACTTCCCTGTCGCCTCAATTTGATGAAGAAATGTCGGATTCTATCCCAACGTCGACACCCCCAGCCAAAAGACCTGTCCGAACCCCAACGTCCAGTCCAACGTCCCGGCGGAAACGTCAAAAGGCTTCGTCGCTAGAAAATACTCCAACCTCCACGACAGTCAATTACAAGTCACCCGATTATGTCCGTGAGTTGCTAGCAAGAGGTGTGCAGCAAGCAACCGGGAAGCCAGCGGAGTACGAAATGATGGTGGCACGCCTCGAGAAGCGTCCACCCAATTGGCAAGATCTTCCAAACACAACCCTGGACTCCTTTGACGTTATCATTCGCAGTGCCGGGAATGAAGGAAGCATCCAGGGGGGCATTGTCCCTCTTTTGATGGACTACATTGGTCTACTGTTAGACCCAGAAACGCTGGCTGTAATGGATATACCATTCAGCAAACAGTGCCAGCTCCCTGTCCAATTTCCACTGGACGAAAACTCAAAGAATATCCCAGCACCGTACCCAGACGTCTCTGTTGGTCTCCGTCGCAGCCAGTTCGTTGACTACGAACCAGCCCTACATCACCTAAACCACATTTCCTCGCCTATTGCAAGAACTCCGGACCTCGTTTTCCCATGCTTTGCTCTCGAGGCCAAAGGTGGCAGCGGAGGGATGGATGCGGAAACGCAGAACCGGCACAACACAGCAAACATGCTGTACAATTTAAGACAGCTTTCAGTTCGCTCAAACGGGGAAGAAGCCACCCACCTATCATTCGACCGGATTGTCAAAGCCTGTTCGGCCACAGTAACACAGCAAGCAATGACCATCTTTTGTCACTGGGTTGAACAGAGCCAGAATACCCAAAACCTTATCTTCTACTCGTATCCTGTGAAGTCTGTCGCTTTCGGTGCGATGTCGTATCAGGATTGGAATCGCGCCGCTATGTACCTGCAGAATGCCATTTCCTTCACAGTGCAAAAGACACTCAGTCAAGTCAAGGAGGACTTGCCAAGATGGAATGAGCAGATATTCCGCCAGAGTCGGCTCAAAGAAGACAATCAGGCACAGCCTACTACGACCCCGGCAAGCCCCAAATTCAGCCAGCGGGAATAAAGTGAATGAAAAGTCATGCTGCTTATTGTTTTTTTCCCTCCCAACTCGTGTCGTTTCTTGTTGTGTCTTGTTGTGTCTTTTCATCGATATCCATCTTCCTCCTCGGCAGCATCCTCTGTGCGACCACACAAACCATTACATGGCTGATCGGTGTAGGAGCTATGAGCCACCTGGTGCAGGTCATCCTGTCTGATATATCGACAATGAGCGAGCAAGGTCTGTATATGGCTATTGCAGTATTCGAGTGGTTGCTAGGAACAAATATGGGGATCCCGATTGGGGGTGCTATTGGGGAGAGGACGATCTGGTGATGGATCTTTTATATCAATATCGTTTGTGTGCTCTGTATCGTGGGGTTGCTGTACGTGTTGCAGTTGCAGTATGATACCTCGTCGTTTGTCAAGAAGCTGGGGGTTGGTGTATCCTTCGGGGTGTCATTCTGCGTTTCTGCCTTCCCCTTATCGTTTGCTTTTTCATTGAATAGCACTCTCCTTCTTTCATTGAAGACCTGGCTCGTAACATGAATTTCAGCCCGGCGGCCGATATAGCAATACTCCCCTAGATTGAGTGAATAAGTAAGTCATTCTACCAGGTAAAGAAAGAATTATAATAAATCATGTATTATGATGTCAGATTTCTTACTTAGTCTTCGTAGCTTAGCTTGCTCAACAATTCAATCAAGATCTCACATCTCCACCATGCACTTCGACATGCACCACGTAGTCTTCTGACATGAAAGTCAAGGATTTAGAATGGAATCTGGCATCAGGATGCTAAAATCAGTATAATTCCTGCCTACTATGATAATATAACAATACTGAATATATAGGTTGGTATATACGAAAAATACAACCATTAATCAGCTACTTTATGCGTGCCAAGACTGTATTTGTGCACAGAAATGGGCTGTGGGCTAGGGGCTTGGGCCCATTTGTGGGCTATCTTGAGCCGGTTACTGGGGCTTAGTCAATTTTATATGAACCTCATTTGAAACTCTTGCTTTTTAATTATATGCCCCCCACTTTACCCCCACTTCGAGGATTCTCTGAAATTACAATATGTGGTCTCTGTAAAGACTAATACTAAGTAAATCAATTGAAGTGATTGATTAAATGTCAAGGAGCTGTTCAAAGCTGTCTTAGTCTTGGCCTGTTACAAAGGCATTACAAATTGACCCAGACCCCATGGGAAAGGCGGATCTCACGGGGCGGGTATCCATGAATCAGCTGCGCTGGAGAGATCCACCAAATATTACCCCTCAATCCTTCGGCGCATCGGATCGTGAGAAATTACAACGGAAGTCAAATACTTCATTCTACTGCTTTCTCAGGCTTTCTATACTTAAGAACCCCCATCTTTGTAGCTTGCTGTGAATTTGCAAGTTTTCAACCACCTTTTCATTGAGAATATTCGACGCACGTTTCGAAATCTCTCCTTCTATTACCACAGAATCGGACTTGATCTCTCTCCCCCTCTGGTCTGGGCAATACTCTCTCAAATAAGCTCTTCGTACCATTCTCGTTTTAATCAGCTAACTTAAGCAAAATGGTCCGTATCCTGATAATAGGTTCTACGGATAGCTTTGGCCTTAAGGCTGCCCGTTAGCTGGTTCAGCGTAACCACACTGTCTACCTTTATACGCGTAGCTAAGAGCGCGTAGATAAGGTTAAGCCGACCTAGACCTTGCCAACTCCCACGGGACCAAAATTTTTTTGGTCCTATTTCCTGGTCCCATCACTCCCGCCGGGACTAAAAATATTTTGGTCCTATTACCCTATTACTCCTATAGGAGTCCTACGGGGGTGATAGGACTCCTATATGGTCCCACGTGTAAAGGATAAAGGTCCTTTCAAAGGTGAAACAGGAATATGGAACAACATTTGTATTCATAGAAGGTTCTGATGCGCATAGGGATCGTACGGGGTTCGTTACCTAATCGGTACCGAGTCTTAGTATACACAATTCCTCTTAACCTTGGGTCCCCCGGGACCCCTGAATTCTGACAAGAATTAGTCTTAGCACACACAGAACAATACACCTTGATTCCCCTCCCTAAGCCAACGTATCTTACCCGGTTGACAGGCCATATACCTGAAACAGTATATTCTTACAATACGTAACCTTTGGGTGAAACTAAGCAAGCTAAATAAAAGTTCGTAGAAATGGATCTATGGCGTGACTATACTATGTAATTTTCTAGTATCGTATGGTTCCATTAGTGCCGATTACTAAGTTTCTGCATGGCAGAAACCCTATTGTCAAATTTGGTCCAAATCGGCTGCCGTAGGGTGGGGTTACTTGGCAAGGACCGGGTACTCGAGATCACATGATGGATTCGGTATAATATCTGGTTTTTACCATGTATTCGGACTTGGTATTCGACAAAACATATGTTCCTAGAACCGCTAAACAGAGGAGACTTTACCCACACAAACCTAGGGCCTAGTTCTTACACTTGGCACATATCGAGGATAAAATAATCGCCCGGCAACATATTAACTCGTTTCACGCTAAAGACTCTAGATCCAAAGGATAGAAATACATAGTAAAACCAAACATATACACACCTACCATATGCTATCTAAGGGGAATATACTATCTAGAGATTAAGCTAATGTACTAGCTATCGTTCCGTTATAGGTATACGGGAATTTGTACGTTACTAAAAGGTTGACAAATTCTAAGGCATTATTCTACGACTGCTCTAACCTATAAAATAATGCCCTCGGTCCTCCTTTACTATCCTAGAGTCGTAGGAAGGTAAAACTATCTATATAGTAAAAGCGTACTTCCTAATAAGATTTATATCTATCGGTTAAGATAGATTTAAAGCTACCTATTAGAAGTATTAGCCGGTAGAGAAGAAGCGAGGACGATATATAGTTCAAAAAGCTATATTCTCGTAACGAGTTTTCGAGATACTCTATTAAATAACGTCTATCGGAAATTTGAGTATCCGGAAATTTAAAAGATTACGTAGACGGATTCTATTAAAGTTCGTCGTCCGACTATTTTACAAATTCCTTATTATATTATCTTAGACTATATTTTACCGAGCTTAATTTCTTTACTAAGCTCTATTTCTTTTTTATATTATCCTAGAGGCTCTCGGTAGCTTCTAATTTATCGTGATTTAACCGGTCGCCCTCGTAGTAACGCAGAAGTACTATAAGATCGATTCGAGGAAACGATCTTAAGGTCTTAGATAGATCCGAAAGACATTCTAAGTTCTTAAAAAGGTTGTAGGTTAAGCTTAAAGACTCGGTTCGGTTATATAAACGCTTTACTCTAGGCTCGGTTAAGGTCTCCGTTAATATCTTATACTTAGGCGTCGAAAAGTCTATATTCTTTGAATAAATTTAATAAAGAATTAATATTTAGAGTTATTAATATATAGGTAAAGGCTAGCGAACTAACCGTTTAATCGAACTAGTACTAAGTGCTAATTAAAGGACCGAAGAGAGAGAGAGGAGGGAAGAAAACTTAAGCTTAAATAGTAGTAGTAAAGGTAAGAAGAAATAAGGGAAGAGTAGCCCTTATATATACTTATTGTAGCCTAGTTAACAGCCTATAAATTACTAAAAGTATAAATATTAGAATAGAATAGAATAGAATAATAGCCTAGCCTAGCCGATAAGGTAGTATAGTATAAATAACCCCCGGGTTTGATTAGGGATAGATACTAAGGTAGCTAAAGTAATAATATAGGCTTAGCCCTATAAAGGAGATAGATAGGATATAATACTTTAGTACGGTTGCGTATAGGCTATAATTAGTTGTCGTACCTACGCCGGCGCGTTTACCTTCTACTATAATAATTAGGGCGCCTTACGTAAAACGCTATTGGCGATATACTACTTATAAATAAATAATACCTAGATAGACTACTAGGACTAATTATTTTATCTATTAGTAAATCGCGATATTACCTATATAGGTAGAACTAGGTTCTAGCTAATAGGGACTTAGGCCGCTACGCCTAAGTATATTTAGATAATCGGGACCTTTGATTATTATTATAGCGGTATATATACTTCGGTATAGATTTATTCGGCGCTTTACCTAATATCGTTCCTTCGATACCTTTAAAAAGACTTAGCCCGTATAAGGCCGCTAAGAGATAGATCGCTCGATATAGTATAAGGTATATATATACAGATCTTTTATAGTATAACTATATATATATAATATATATAGATAGGTATACTTATTATAGCCTAGAAAGAGCCGGTATTAAAGAAACTATCTATCTATCTAGTTATATATCTACTCTTTACTAATATATATTAACTCCTTATAGCCGCTAGATAGAAATATACTCGATACTCTTCGATACTCTTCGATATCTAGTTATAAATAAGCTATATCGGGTAGTATCTTTATTTAATACCTATTATAGGCCGGAACTACTTCGAGTAAAATACCTAGTTACCGCCTATCTTACTAGTTCCTAATCATATTTAAAATATAAGATAAGCGTAACGCCGGTTATCTTATTATTAAGGCCACGATTTTCCTACCTACCCGGAACCCTATAGCTAGCGGCTATAATTAATACTTTCCCGGCAAAATTTACCCTTTTATATAATCTTATTTAAAAACAATTTAATACTAACTTCTTATCTTTATAGTATCTAACGATTTGATAATCGCTTAGTAGCTATCGGTAGCTAAAATCGGCTCTATTAAGATCTATTAGCTAAATTAGCTTCTCTTCGACGATATCGATATATTCGGTTCTCGGGCCTTTAGATAATCTAATATCGATCGCCTTCTATATCGCTTTAACTATAAGGGCTATCGTAGGTTAGATCTACTTACTTAGATTCCTTATAAGATAAAACTCTTAGAACTCTAGCCGCTAGTTTCTAGCTTAAGTAGCAGCGACCCTAAAGAGATTATCTTACTAGACGATTAGAACTTATATTATTTCTAAGAAAAATATCGAATTACTACTACTCGTAAATAGTTAGCGCCTAGTAATACGTAGTAGATTTTTAATCTATACGACGCTGAAAAGCTAAGTAATAATTACCGAAGGAGACTATAAGAATACAACTCTAGGTCGTATACTTTTAGTAATAATAAAATATTTCGAAATATCTACTATTACTAGTAAAGGGAGGAGATAGATACTACTAAAGAGTAGCTTATAAGATAGTCGCCGACTAAATATAGCGAATTTAATCGGATTTATAAGCCGAAGGGAAAAAGCTAAGATAAATTCCGCTACCTAGGAAGAAGACTAGATACGCTTCTCTACTTTCCCGCTTTATAGATCCTATAGTATATAGGAACCTATCTCCTAAGTCTTAAATATCTAGAGGTAGAGAATCTAATACTTAATAACGAATATTTTATCTAACTAACCTTATTATTCTATAGGAGCTCTTAGATTTCTTAGTAGAGATTTACTCCGCTTAGTAGTTTTTTATCTACTAAAATTTATAGTTTCTTAACCCTTTAACTCTTATAATACTAGAAGAACGCTACCTTTATTTATTAATAGTAGATTACCGATATATAAAAAATACTTTCTAAGATAGCTTAGTATTTTCGATAGTTAAAGACTTAAATCTATAGTCGAAAATATAGTATACTATCTTAGATTATCGAAAGATAATTCTGTCCTTTAGGACTTTTTTAGAGAATATAAAATATCTTAAAGTAATAACTAATATTATTAAAAAGATTCTCCCGGTAAATTTTAAAGGTACTATTCGTTAGGCTATATTTTGTTATTATATAGTACCTAGGAATTAGTAATTTTATATATAGTCTCTAGAAAATAACTTTATATAGAGAGTAGGCCTAAAAGAGTTTAGCTTTTAGTTTATATATCGTTAGCTATTTCTTTTTACTATATATTACTTCTATAGAATAATTAACTTATAGCCCCTTAGATTTAATTAAAGTTTAAGGGCCCGATACCTCGATCGATCCGAACTATAGTAGCGCCTTAGGCTTCTTATAAGTAAGGTTAGATTTATTATACTAAGGTCTAAATTTAATCCCGGTATAAATTACTTAGAGTTTACTACTATTCTTAGTCTTCTTATCCGTCTTCGCCCCTCTAAGTTCTTTAAATATAAGGAAAATCAAATATCTAAATAGAGTACTAAAGTCGCTTTATTTCTTAGCTTAATAACTCCTTAGATCGTTATAATATAGGTCCTTATTTAGACTTACGATTAGTCTAAGGACTAGAATCTTTAGAGCCGCTATAGAATAATAGATATAGAAAGTTTTTTTCTAGATCAAAAGTACTTATTCTTAGAGTATATCTACTCGCCTAATTATACAATTTAAGAGAATATAATATCTTTTATAGTTAAACGGGATATTTTTCGATCTTTCTTCTCTAATCTTAATTTAACCGATATAGAGCGAATATAGGAATAGAATATAGGTAATCAAATTTCTAATAGGGAGAGAGCCCTACCTATAGTCTTATAAGATACCGAAGATACTAGAATAGTAGGTAGTAATTAACTTATTATATATAATTAACCGGGCCCTATTTAGTCAACTAACCTTAGTACGGAGGTCTTAAGTTACCCGCTCCCTATTATATAAGGTACTGTTCTAACTTAACTAAACTAAGTTACTTAAATTTCGGAAATAACGCCTATTGTTTATAAATATATAGTTAATATAACTCCCGACAATTTCTACGTAGTATTGTTGGGATCATGGCACATGACCTTGTTTGTCAGAACTGTCACATGTCAATAACCAGATAGTCTCCTCTCCTCTCTCTTCTTCTTTTCCCCTTTCTCATCATCATCCAGAGAGATCGTCAACCATCAGCAGTTAGCCTCAATACCATTACATTACTGATCTCTTCTCTTCTCCTGACTCGCTGTCAGGTTATAAGCCTTCGCTTATTCCGAGCGCCGTTTTTTATCGATTTTCGAAGCTGGGGTAGCTAGCCCTTTTGTAGGTTCGGCTACCCCCGGTACCCCCGGCACCCCGGCGTCCCGGAACCCCGTACCTCCGATTTTCCCACGGGCTTAGGGGAAGAGTACTAATCACGCGCACAATCGCGTATTTCAAATTTTTCGACGGTTTTTACCTCTTTCGGTACCGTCTATAATACCTACTTCTCGACGCGACCGGTATTCGGAACGCGAAATCATTCGACGCGACCGGCAGAAGTTCGGAACGCGTAGTTATTCTTTTCTCGAGATCTATAGCAACGGATTCTCGATATATAACAACGGTTTTTTAGAACAACAACAACTACAAAGCTAAGGCTAGGGCTAGATATAAACTATATAAGTTATAAGAGCTAGTACTAGTGCTAGGTAGGTACCTGAAGCGAGAGCTAGAGTAAGTTGCTAGAGCTAGAGCTAGGTTAGAGCTATATTTAAGCGAGAACCTATTATACTAGAGCTAGTTACCGCCTAGTATCAGTACTTTTTGCTAGAGCGAGCGCCGCCTAGTATCATTACTAGTGCCTATACTATTACTAGTACTTGTTTGTTAGTTCGATATTACCATTCGACAAATTCAACAAAAGAGGTTTTTCTAAAGGATTAAGGGGGTGTATTAGAAGTACATTCGGAGTTCTACATTTAGAGTTAGTTCTAAGGGGGTGTGTTAGGATCATAGCACATGACCTTGTTTGTCAGAACTATCACATGTCAATAACCAGATAGTCTCCTCTCCTCTCTCTTCTTCTTTTCCCCTTTCTCATCATCATCCAGAGAGATCGTCAACCATCAGCAGTTAGCCTTAATACCATTGCATTGCTGATCTCTTCTCTTCTCCTGACTCGCTGTCAAGTATTTACAAAACTTCCTCCTTATAATAGGGTTATATTCTTTAATATAGCTACGAGTAAGGTGCTATTTTTTTGGGCGGAAACTACGAATTAAGTATATAAGTAGATCGAAGATCTTAACGACCGATAGTATGCTTAAGTTATCGATAATATATTTTCTCTTAAAACATTCTTACTAAATAAGGTCTTTACTATATACTAAAATAGTCCTTATTTCTTTTTCTATAGGAGGAGGGATAAGAGTAACTTTAAATCCTAGCTGACTCTAGCTATAATATATACCGAAATTATATTACCTTATTTTAGCCCTACGACGAATATATAGTCTTTATAATCTAGAATAGCTTAATAGAATTCTCGTATTGCTTTTATAGTCTAGAGCTATATAATATAAATATATTCTCTTTATATCTTAAGAAGGTTATATAAGTAACGCTCTCTGCTTACTAAAAGTATATAGTAGTAAGTTGCCTACCTAAATAATATCCTATTGATAATATTAATATTAAATAGCTAATATATAATTCAAAGTTTAGCTCTAGAACTACTCTAAAGGATTGTTTTATAATATTTAGCTTAGTATAATATATATTACGTTAACTCTAGCTGTAATAAATACTAATATTTTCTTATTTTAATCTTAAGATAAATTTATATACCTTATAATCTAGATAGGCTTAAATTAATAGTGAAATTACTTCCTTATCTTAAGCTTCTAAGGTATAATAATATTAGTAAGTCCTAGTATTAGTATCCTTATATAGATAACCTACTTATTACTTATAAAGATTTAGGTCTAGTGTCTAGAAAATAAGTTTGTATAAAGAAACGGTATATTAGTTAATCTATCTTAAATACTTATAGGCTAATATTATAATCGTCTTTAAGATAAATCTTATATCGCGCTAGTATAAATAGAATCTCTAGACAACCGGGATAATTATACTACCGACTATCTCTCTTAAATATAAATAGTAATTTATAAGTCTCGAAATAACGTTTTAGTATATCCTTATATATATACGGGTAGGCTCTAGCGGATAGATATAGATCCTTACGTCCTAGATATACTAGATATTTAAGGCTAGTAGAACTTTTTAATAGAAGTAATCCCCTACTAGTCCTAGCTTTTTTTAAGTGTTTCTATTAGAAATCTTTAGCTTTTTATAACTATATATTAACTAAATTTAATCCGCCTTTTTAGTGTCCTAGGTATATAAAGACTATAGAGCTTAAGTCGTAGTTCTAGGGACTAAATACGATCTTTAAGTAACTCGATATTACTAACGGTATTAGTATCTCTATTTTTAAATTTAAGGTATAAAAGCGCTCTTCTCTCCGGCTATATATAAGAGATATCTAGTATAAAAGTAATAGGATTCCTCTAATAATTACGCTCTATAATCTAATTCCTAATATTTCGGAAGAATTTATCGCGAGCGGTCTTCTTAGCTTTTCTATATAATTTTCTCTACCGTACCTAGATCTTATTTTATAGTCGTTTAAATTTATACTAACGCTTATTATTAGCTTTATATATCTTCTATAGGCGGATAAACTCTATAATAAGAGTAATCTAGAGCGACTTATACGTCTTTCTTAAATCCCGGAGTTCGCTATCTATTTTAAGAGACTCTTTCTACTTAATAGTTAGGTCTTAAGGCGCGGAGGTATCCTATTTTAAGTTTATATAGATCGCGAGGTTAAGTAATAAATCCCTAGTAGGAGTCCTTATATAAATAGATTAAGTATCGTTTAGTACTAAGATATAACTTATAAATATACTACCTTTTCGGTAACCTATAATTATATTTCGTAAATACTCGTTAAGATATCCTATAAAGGATTAATTTCTTATCTATTAATTTAGTATCTTTTTAAATATATATTAAGGTTTACTACTACGCCTTTATAGTATTTATAAAGCGACCCTTTATCCGGAAAACTAGCCTTTTTATAGGCAATTTACTCCTAACTCTACGCTTAGCTATATAGAAGAGTATTTTCTAGGTCTATAATCTAATAGCTATTATCTGTTTATATAGCGCGTCTTAAGATAGGAATATCCCCTAAGCTTTTTTAAAATAGATAGGCGTACTTTAGCGATACTCCGGTATCTTTATTAGACGCTAGATATCTCGAGGGTATTTAATATAAGGGCTTATAAACGCGTTATTAAGAAATATATATATAAGTATATTATAAATAATATAAAGTCCTAAATTATTATTTCTTTTAGTATATATAAATTTAGGCCTACTAGAGTTAGTTATAGCTATAGCTAAATTATATACTTATACCTCTTCTAGTAATACTTATAGAGCTCTTTTATTTCTCCTTCCTTTATTAAGCCTATACTATACTTTTATAAGAAGGATTTAAGAGCCGGGATCCTCTAGGTTTTTTACTATAAATAGCTTAATATCCTTCTATTTAAGGGTATCGTTACCCCTTATATACCTAGTTAATAGAGTTAGAGTTCTAGGCCGAGCCGACATTAAAGCTATTATTTTTCGTAACGTATTTAATTATAAAAGGTATCGGAAAGTAGGAAAAGCTATATTATAGATATCTAATAAATAATAGATAATAAGTAAGAGTTCGTTAATACTAAATAGCGGTTGTTACTTAGCGCCTA